GACAATGGATCTCTCGCCTGATGAGTTAACATGTGGAGCCGCACACTTTGGACCAAAACCCCCCCCCCCCCCCCCCCGGTTTTGAATATCCCCTGAAGATGAGCGCTTTTTTGTGTCTTTGCTCTTGAGATTGAAATCTGAAATGGAGGAGTACCAGCAGGATATGAAGATTCTCCGGTCTCAAATGACTGGTATAATCAAAAATCCTTATTCGCTTCTGATTTTCCAGTTTTTAGCTGAAATTTTGATAAGACTTGCCTTATCTCTTTGTTTGTTTTCTTTTCCATTCAATCAATTGAGGTTAGATGTTAAGAACCATGCGTCACAAGTCTTCATGGAGGAAAAATTGCAAATTACCACAATCAGTAACTTGGAGAAAGATCTCGATCATGGTTAGTTTTTCGCTTGCTCTCAGATTTTTTTTGGATTCAAATGACACGTATGGATGCCTTCATCTCTTTGTTTGTTTTCTTCCATGGATTCGATTGAGGTTAGATGTTAAAGATCACTGTTAAGTTTCCTGAACTTCCAACTTAAAATCAATTGGCAATGAGTGGATTAGCCCAAGTCTCTTATATACTAGTGTTAGCCCCTTTAAACTTCTGATGTGACATTTTAACACGCCTCCTCGAGATGATGGCTCTTATAAGCCCATCTCAAACCGAATCCCACTTTAAGACCGATAATAAACCCTTCTTGGGCCACTCTACTTGGATCAACAAATGAGACTCTGATACCATATTAAGTTTTATGGACTTCCAAATCAAAACCAATTGGCAATGAGTGGATTAGCCCAAATCTCTTATATACTAGTGTTAGTCCCTTTAAACTTCCGATGTGGAATTCTAACAATCACATGGCACAAGTCTTTGTGGAGGAACAAATGCAGATTACTACAATCCATGCCTTGGAAAAAGATCTCGATTATGGTTAGTCTCTCTCTTTCGCTCAAGTTTTGACGGATCCAAATGACATGTACGGAAAAAGTTTTAGGTGTTTGAAAGCTTGGGTTTAAGGGAAATTTGTTGATCTTCGTGGATATTTATGCTATAAATGAGTAATTGAAAGTAATTTTGTTTGGAATTCTACAGATTTTGAGCAGTAATTTTCCAATTTTGTTTTATCTGTAATTGATATCTTTGTTCAAATTAGTTTTTGTTTTGTCTCAACCTGAATCATGCTGTGAATCAATTTTGAAATCATGCATTCTCTTTTTGTTAGCAGAGATCAAAAAGGATGAGAAGACTCATAGCTACTACATGGCTTATGTGTTCTTTGATGATGATGATTCCCGTGAGTTTTTTTTTTTTTAATAAATACCAGTGATCTGATTGCTGGGTAAAGCTATGAGTGATTCTGTTTGCCGAGGAAAACACACTTAGTAAGCAATCGCCACCAACTGTTCCAGTGGACGTTCCAAGCCAGCAACGACCCAGAATACAGCTCTCGATCAAATTCTTGGTATCATGGAGGAAGCAGATTACGGAGCTCGAGGAGATATGTTCGGGTAATTGGGTGCTGGTTTGATTGATCAGCTTGCTCTGGTTGGATTGATTGGTTTACCCTGGTTTGATTGATCGGTATTAAACTTACTTTTATTTTTTTGCCACTAAACTGTTCGAATTTAGAGCATCTCCAACTCATACCCTTATTTTAAGGGTGGCAAAACTTTAAAAAAGGTTTGAGGGTGCATTGCTCTAATAGTAAAACCTCAAAATTTATTTTTATAATAATTTATATTTTGCATTATGATCCTTCATATTCACAATTGTTAATTATGATGATAAAACATTGATAAATAAATATAAAACACATTAAAAAGTTACAAACACTATTATTATTTTTTGAAATAAATAAAAATTTACACAATTATAAAAAACTACCTATAAATAATAGGAAATCAAAAACACATAAACCAAATTATACAATTTATATTGTGTAAAATACTAAAATTTATATGTTTATGTAGCTTTAATTTCTTGTGTTTATTTACTTTGTGTGTTGATGTATTTTATCATGTTTTTTGTTTTATATAAAAATGTTATATTATATTTTTATATATTAGTGATTTTGATTTTTAAACTTTATGTATTTACTTCATTTTTATATGATATCTTATTATATGGACTAAATTGAATAACACAAACAAAAAATAAGTTTATTGATAAGATATACAATTGTAAAGATTAAAAAATAAAGTAAACAGTGTTTTAAAGATCTCAATAATGAATTGTCAAATTTAAGATTTAACTATTCAGAACCTTAAAATTTTGAGAGGTTTGACGGTTGTGTTAGAGAATAAAAAAACCTCAAATCTGAGGGTTTAAGGGTTGGGTTGGAGATGTTCTTAGTTAAATAGTTTGTGTATTCTCTTCGATCATCTTTCAATATTCCAAAGTTGCTTTGCTTTTTTTCGTTAAAGGTTATCGTATTGAAATTTTTTGGTTTTTTGTTACATTGTAGCAAAATGTTTTTAAAAAACCTACAAGCCCCGAAGAGAAAAGAACAACAAATAAATTAAAGCCCTAACATAAACCCTTATTGGACCTGGTTAGGAGATTAACTAGAGTAACAAGCAGGTTAACTAAGTTGCAAGTACTCCATTTGGCATTTGTAACCATTGTGTTTCGAATAAAAAAAAATTAAAATAATTTTTATTCAGAAGATGAGTGCAATTTTAGGTAAAACTTATAACGGTATTATCAACAAACATGGTGATAGATTTACATGAGAATTTGATAGCTGACATATAATAAGATTAACATCTGATTTGAACTATAATAACACAACTCACCATCAACTTATATCTACTACAATCTATGGTCTTGATTGGTAGAACTTTTAGAAAAACATTATGCTTTGTATTATCCAATTAATTTTTATAAATAGAGCATTTAGGAAAATATTTAAAAGATGCAAATGCTCTCCAAAATGCTCATTCATTTATATTCCTTTATGGAGTTTTTCCAAAGCATTAAACTTTAAAATATTTTAATAATTCAAAATAATTTTATATAATTAATTTATTTTGTTAAAATAACAGAAAAATTATGTTTATATTAAAACATAAATTTTACATTTTTAACAATAATATTTACCATTTTTATTTTTAAAATAATATTATAATTAAGTGATAATTTAATAAATATGGTAAAAATATTAAAAATTCTAAAATTTACATTATAAATATAATATACTGCATATGGACAAATTTATTAAATTTTTTTTTAAAAAATTTATATCTAATTACTCATAGCTCTGCTAATCACTTAAAACATGTATATTAATAAGAGCATACAGTTTTAATATCATACTATTTATAATTCTTAAGCATAATGCTTTACTATTGACTAACCAATCAGGGTCTGGGTCTGCTTCTTTAGAATCACTAAATTGGGCTTTTTTAGTCCAAATCACTAAAGCGGGTCGACCCGATTGGAATTTACTCCCTCGCTACTCGCCAGTTTCAAAATTTCGTCCCCTTTTGGCTTTTCCCCCAAAAGTGAGCGCTCGCGTAAAATTTTGTTTTTCTCTTTGTTTTGCTCTTCTGATTCGTAACGAAGATCTGATTCAAAAATCTTCTGAAATCTTATCATCAGTTCATCTGTTTTGAATTGAAATCTGAGAGTGAAGGAAGAGATGGAGGAGTACCTGCAGTATATGAAGACTCTCCGGTCTCAAATGACTGGTATAATCTCTTCGCTTTTGATTTCTCCCGTTTTTAGCTGAAATTTGATGTGGCGATTGTGGATTTTGCCTTATCTATTCGTGTTTTTTTTTTCTTTCCCATGGATTCGATTGAGGTCAGATGTTGAGGATCATGCCGCGAAGGTCTCCGTCGAGGAACAGATGCAGATTACCACAATCAGTACCTTGGGGAAAGATCTCGAGCATGGTTAGTCTCTCTCTCTCAAGGTTTTCGGATTCAGAAATTTCCGTTGACATGTACGGACAAGTTTTTAGGTGTCTTCTCTTGGTTTAAAGGGAAATCCGTTGATCTTCGTGGAAATTTAATGCTAATTGAAAGTATTTTTTGTGTGGGATTCCACAGATTGTGAGAATTAAGTTTCTTCGCTTTGACATTTCCAGTTCTGTTTCCTGTGTAGCTTATCAATGATGTTCTTTGCTTAGATTATGATTTTTGTCTTGGCTCATGCAACAATTTACTCGGTTATTTCAAAATTGTAGTATCTTTCTTAAATGTTGGTTTGGCTGATTCGTGATCAACTATTGAGTATCAGAGTAGCAGTCTTTTGTTCATGTTCAAGATAGTTTGTCTCTGAATTCGCACTTTGTTACACACTCTTTTTTTTTTATGAGATCTTACATGATTTTTCTTCTTATTTTTTTTTATCACTGTTGTAAGCATTGTCTGAGACGAAGAGGCTTAAAGAAGAGACAGATCAGAAGACGAGGACAAAAGGCGAGATATGCTCTCATATACTTCAAAAGCAGAGAAAAATTTCGTCAATGGAATCTGATTCAGCAAATCTTGCACAGGTATTTCATCCTCTTATGTAAGCCCTGAATATGCGTTGTAGAAGGAGAAAGAATGAAATCATGTATATATGTCAAATTATGCTATAGAATTTACCACTGTTCTTTGTCACACAGTTGTTCATCTGTGTGCTGCTTACACTGTGTAAACTGTTATCCTGTGTTGTAGAGTTTGGAGCTTATTCTTCAAGAACGAGACAGTATTTCTGCCAAACTTGTATCGAAACGGTAATTCAAAGAAACATCTCGCTCGAGCTGGATTGTTGTTCTGGAATCACCTGACGACAGTTAAATTCATTGTTTCTAATCGCAGTTCTAACTATATAAAGACTGCAGAGGAAGCTAGAACCAAACTAGAGGAGCAAAAGGTTTTTTTTTATTTGCATCCTCTTGATGTGATATCATTCGCTGTCAACCAACACATTTACCTTTCTGTCGTTCTATTTGGGCCAGGGCTGGTTTGTTTCCCATATGAGCAATGAAACTGGTCAACATGGACAGGTTCCTTCTCCTATGAATCCTTCTACGCTTATTATATCACAAGTAACTGAGCCAGGTTAGGAGTTTTTAACCCATTCGTGTTGGTCCTTGATATTTCAGCAAAAAGAAACAAGGAAAACCTTAATGGAACAATCAGATTCTGCTAGAGCAAAGCTTGATCAAGCAAAACAGATGAGATCCAACCTTATCGAGGAAAACTCGAAGGTTATTTATTTCAGATCAACTTTTTACTAATGGTGGTTTTGGTTCTGGCACTTTGTGTTTGTGGTAAAATTTTCGAGACAAACTTAGTTACTTTTCCCATTGAGTACACGATTTATCTCTTTGAGCACTTTTCTGAACTATAAAGTTTCATTTCAGATCAAGCTCTCAATTGAGCATGCGAAGCACAAGATCAATGAAATTAAGGTAATTACTCTTTGGATGCTAGCATTGTGATTTTGCATGAGTCCATCAATTAGATCTTCTGCTCACATCAAGATAAATCCACTCGGCCTAATTCTATTATTATGTATGATTTTTCCCGCACCTGACACATACTGTTTTCTGATATCGTGAACAATGCAGCCAGAGTTAATGTCAGTGGATATTAAGGTTCTAGAAGAGGAATACACAGCTCTTTTGTCAGATGAGTCTGGTGAGGCAGAGTATTTGCAATCGCTGCAGAGTCAGGCTGAGAAACTGAAGGTGACATTTGATTTCTAGGCTTGATTTTGATTATTATATGTGATGATCATGACCACGTTTACTTGCTGCAGGGAATATCTTACATCGCTAAATGCGGTTGTGGAGAGGAGTACAGTGTTGGTCTAGCTTAGGCCAAACTTAAGAGTGCACAATCATCTTTCAGGTATCTGAATATGTCAACACGTCATAGAACCAAAAAGAAATGTTATGTTTGCTATTTCTTTGAATCTGTGCTTTCGCAGACTCGGTTACTTGTTTGGTTTGTAGAGAGACAACTATAATACTGGGGTACTTGTTTGGTTTGCAGTAAATAATATCTTACAATTTACAGATTATGTTATGCAAGTCTCACTATAAGCTTGAGAACATCATTCTTTCTCTTTCATCCGCTTTCAGCAAGCAATAGGAGTCATTTTTCTTTGTATTTTCATCGCATTATTATTGATAAACGTAACTAAATTTTGGGGAAACCTTAAAAGAATAAGAGAAGTTGAGAAAAAAGTGGAGGAATAGAGTTTATTTCTTTTGTTTTGAGTAGAGAGTTAAGTCACTCCACGTCCAGTCCACTGCAAGTACAATGACCACTGATAAAATCATAAAGATTGTGGATATAAAGTTGAGTGTGGTATTAACTTATTATAATTCAAATCAGATGTTAATCTTATTCTTCAGCTAGTAAACTCGAATGCACCATGTTTGTTAATAACATACCATTATAATTTTCATCTAAAACTGCACTCATCTTTTGCGTTGAAATTTTTTTCCTTCTTTTCATTCAGACCACAATGGTTACAGATGGAACTCATGAAATAGAGCAATACCATGTATGTACTCTTACAATTGGTACAATGGTTGCATACAGAATCAGAAATTATCCTCTGCTGTCTGTTGTCCGTAAACTCAACATGCTTTCACCAATTTTCTCATAAATCTGCAAGCTGCTGCTCTTTAATCTGTCATTACGTTAAGAACTTAAGATCAATAATAGTTTAGGGACGAATTTCTGTTTCTTATCTTCACCACAGTAAACTGTAGGTAAGACTTATCGGCATTTGATCCAGAACAATAAAATTACAAATACAAAGTTCACATGCTCAATGACAAGGAATGCAAATCACACATGGGAAATAACAAACTTATTCAAAACTCTCCCCAACTTGAATATTTAATAAGAAAATTCCAAGCTTGTTCTGTTTTAAAACCTTACAAATTACACATACGGAACTGTTGGTCTATGCAAAAGCCTGGTCAACTGATAACTTGCAAAGGAAACTAAAGTAGAGAAGATAGAGGTAGTTGCAATACCTGAAAGTTAGCAGCTTCAGTTCACAGAGAGTTTCAGTATTCAATATCATCCATATCACCCATGTACTCAGCAACTTGTTCAAGCCTAACATCAAGCATCTTGTGGTTATCTAAATCACGAACCACACCAGTTTCTTTATCCAAATCTTTCTCAACCAGATTTCCATAGACGCCCTTATGTTTCCCTAATAGAACCAGAACCGGCCCTCCTCGCCTAGGCAAAGCCGTCTCGAGCAGCTCCTGATCAACCCCTTGAACCAACTCTTGCGTCTCATCCATGGTGATATCACATGTAGTTGGTCCAACAACGTCGACAACTTTTCCTTTCTTAAGATACAATCTCCCACCTTTCAACTCCTTGCTTACTATTCTCACCTTTATCTGACTCCTTAGCCATGAGGGCTTCACTCTCCACTCTCTTGTTTGACCTCTCTCTTGTTTAACTTCACTTTTACTCCCTCTCTCTGTTCCTCTGCTTCGTTTACTCGCTTTCTTATCTTTCTCCTTATCGTTTAGCTGTAAATCTTTCAACTTCTTCAAACACCTTTCTTCTTCCTTGGAACCCAAATCTGCTACCTCATTCACACCAACTGTCACTTCATCTTTGCTTCCAGAGAGCTTCAAAACAAACAAATCCTTACCAAGTTTCTCTACAATCTTACCCTTTAATCCTATATCTCTTCCCGCAACGATCCTCACTTCTTTGCCAACAAAAAACACATCTCCGCCATTAATATCAAGTTTCCCACTTTCTTTCACTTTAGCCTTCGTATCCACAACCTTAGATCTATCCGGATCGAAACCTAATCCTTCCTTAGCAGTCCACTTTTTGTATTCCTTAATCTCAACATCGTCTTTAGCATTCTTACCTATTCCTTTCCCTGGCTTCCATCCATATCCAGCCATCAACGCAGCTCCAAAACCTTCCACAGGAACGCTCTCGAAATCCTCCATCGTCGGATCATCAGCGAGCGACTCCAGATCTTTCCTCAAGTTTTGCTGCATAAGCTGCTCCACCGGAGCTAGTTTCCGATCTTCGGTCTCATCACTCGCGTCGCCTTCCTTCACTACTTTCTGACGCAGATTCAAACCGTAGGTGATGTTACTATCGGATCCCTTGGAATCGCCTAAAGGAACTTCGGGCTCGAATTCGAGACCTGAACCGGTATTACCGGATTGAAGCGGGAGATCGAGATTCTTCATCTTCTTGTGAGGCCTCCATGTATTCTCTATCGGAGGGATAACGTATTTGGGAGTGGAATCAGCTAGGGTTTTCGAAGGATCGAATTCCGTCACGAACTCCTTGCTATTACCGTCGTCACCGGCGTTGTTCCCGTCGGCGATCGCTGTGACTTTGGGCTTCGATTTGGAAGGGAGAGAGAAAGAGAGCTTCATGATGATTCGTTCTCTTCTCTCTCACAAGAGCAAACAGAAATCAGAAATGTCACGAAGACGGCGAGAATCGCAAAAATTAGACCCGTCGGAGACTCGGTGCCTGTAGATACGTATAAACCAGATGGGCCTTTTAAATATTTAGTGGGCTAATGGGCTGGACATAGAGGGAAGTCCATTGCTAATGGAATAAAAAATCACAAAAGTTGAAACATTTTTCTTTGTTTTGCGAAACACAAAGTACTTCTAGAACATTTTTAACGCAAAAGTTTTGGAATCCTTTTGTATATTAAAAAAAAAAAATTATGGAACCATGTTTTGGCAGAAACAGAAACACGTTGGACGCAAATGGTGATTGTAATGTCTTGTTTGTATAAGGTGATTTTAAGATTTTCGCCAACCGACTCAAAGGTATTTGTAACAATCCGACATTCAATTCCCTATATGTTGGTTTGTTTTCGATTCTTAATTCCAATCTAAATTAATTTTTGTTATTTGATATTGAGTTTCTTTATTTACTTTCATTCCAAAAACCTATTAGCCCAATATGAAACCCTAGCTATAAATACATTCTAATCTCTCATCTCACATTTAAAAACCCTAACCACATTCTTTTCTTTTCTCAGCCACACCATTCTCTCTCTCTCTCTCTCTCTCTCATTGTTGCTCTCTTTCGCTTTCTCTCTCCTTTGGTTGCTTCTCTCTCCTCCTTCATCCGCTTCTCTTGTCATCTTCTTCTTCCCTCGCTGCCCCCCTTGCATGATGTTTTCCTGGCAAACGCTATGCATAACATATTGAAACCCCAGGTGTCAGCTTTCCAAGATCTGTATAAATCGGAGATCTGTGCCAAGAGTTATCGCTGTTTTCGTGTCGGCTGTTAGATCTGCTCAAAGAGGAGGAAAAAGTATATATTCTTCTATAAAAGCTCAAAGAGGAGGAAAAAATATATCTTCTTTCATAAAGGCATCTGTGAGGACTTGTTGTTTCACCCTCTCTTTCATATGCATGTTTATTTGTAGTTAACTTTTTCTTAAACCAAAGCTTAGTTCTGTTTGCTAGGATTTATAAAACTATTAGGACCTGAATCTCTGTTGATTGATTGTGGATGATTGATGGTTACTGGTGAAATGCTGTAGCGCAGGGGATATTATTTTGATCTTCAATTACGTTAAATAATTTTGCAAAAACAATTATTTTGTAAAAACAATTATTTTTCAAAAACAGTTATTTTGTAAAAAAATAATTATTTTGTGAATTTTATAAAATGATTTGATCTGTATATAGAGTCATTTTTTAGTTTGAATTGTAAAAAATAAGTTTATCTGTATATGAAGTTATTTTATAAACGGGTAAAGCAAAGTAAGCTGTTTATTTAACTCGTTGGCATTAGACTAATATATTATTGAGGCAAATGAACAAAATATTATAATATTATAATCATCAAATATAATTTGCATTGCTTAATAACTGAGTTTTATAATCTGTCCACAAACTATTAAAAAGCAGTTTTATCTTCTTTAACTATATATGTAAATAAATATAATATTCTTTAAATTTTTGTTTGATATAAAATTAATTAAAATATAACAAACTATATTTAGTCAAAAGAAAAATTATAATATTTAGTAAATTAAATATACCACTTTTTTAAAAACCTAATATTTTGAAGTGTGAAATTTTTTTGTGGATATTAAAAATAGAATTATAATCCGTTCATATCGAACTAACCGGTTTACTTAACATATTTGTACTGGATTAAAATATAAAACTAATTATAATATGCACTGTTTAATAACTCTCACTTCACCATTTTTGGTAAAAAATAACTAAAAAAATTATTTTTGTATATAATCAAGTAAATATAAGACCATGTCCATCAGTGAACCCCTAAGAGAGAGGTTCACCAGAATATAATAATACTTTTTTGTTTTTTTTCTTTTTTTTTAATTCAAAAATTATTTTTTAAAACCAATCAGGATGCTCCACGTGTGAAGAGACTGTCTTTTCATGTTCGTCGGAAAGAACCTGGACCATGAACTTCTACCTTTTTTCTTATTTTTTATTGTATTTCGTCTTAAAACTTGTGTCATGAACCCTAAAGAGCCCCTAATGGACATGCTCTAAGACCATGTCCATTGAAAGCCCTTCACATTTTTTACTTGGGTTGCTAATGAATATTTTGAATTAAAATAATGAAAAGGAAACCCAAAATATAAGGGCTGACCCTTGCAGAAGAATTTTTAGGGCTGACCCTTAGAAGATTGCTTATAAAAAAATATTATAATAATCTTAAGGAACTCTTAATGAAGCCTTCTAATGTATATGCTCTAACAATTTATAATAATAAAAAAAAATATTTCACCATTTTTTATATCATAACTTTTAGTTTTATTTTTTCTATTATTTAATTGTGAAATTTTTTATTTTCACGTTTTTTTAAATTAAATTTATTTTATTATATCATTTGAAACAAAAAAATATAAAAAACTACCATATTTTTGAATATAGAAATTAAATAATAAATATATTCTATTAAATGAGAAACAAAGACTTTCCATATTGTTTTCAATAGATTTGAAAAACAACTATCCTTTCCTATTTTAGTTATTTTTGTTATTCGTAATGACATATCATGTAATATTTTACAAAATAAAATTTATTTTTTAAAATATCTATTTAAATAATAATATAGAGATAATCGAAATTGAACTTAAAACTATGGAACCTTAAAAAGGAACCTTGTTTGTTAACTTGTCTTCTTTGGAATCATATCATAACTGAAAATGCATTTAAAAAATGGAAAGAGTATATTAAAACTAGTGTTGCTTTCACTTTGTAAAAGGATGTTTGATATAATAGAACTGCTAGGTATCCCCCACAAGAGACCCTTGTGGGTCGGACTTGATTGTTGGGGCAAGGTGGTGCCTATAAGGGCCAAATGTCTCACTGTCGCGAGGATTTTGGTGAGCCCTCGTGAAGTGTCTTTGGGACATAATTACCTTCAGATATGGAATGTGAAATGTTTTTAGGACATAGATTACTTTCAGGTATGGAATATGAAATGTCTTCAGGACATAGATTACCTTCGGGTATGGAGTATGAAGTATCTTCGAACACACAGATTACCTTCAGGTATGGTCGAGTTGTGGCTCGTGGAGTAGCTGTCTGTGTGACCTAGGCTTGTCTGTTGTGGCCACCTGTTGTGATGTCTGTTGTGACATGTGAACCCTTCCTGGGGGCGGAGTTGGCCTTGCTTAATGGGGGAGTTGTGGATTTTTCACTGTTCAGTGTCATTCCATGCCTTTCTGGGGAGGCTGAGCGTCTGTGTGACCGTGGTTACCGACTGGTTCCAAACAGGACCTGCTGCTAAGTAGTTGCTTATAGGGTTACCCTTTGTGATGTGGATGTTTGTATGTATAGAGTTCATTATACTGTTTATTGCTTGAGCTTGTTTTAGGATTAGACTTCTTATAAATAAATCATGTTTGTCTGATGGTGTTGTGAGCCTCTTTAAAGCTTATCCTCGCTAAGTAGTCCTCATTACTCACCTCTCCTCTTTCCTTGTTTTTTTTCAGTTATAGTTAGATCAGCTATGTTTATGTTGTTGATTATTACATGAGCGTTTTCGATCCTGGCAGACCTGAAGCTCACCAAGAGCCAAAACCAGGTGTCTTACCGAATGAGATTAGACTACCAACCTAACATATTCGATTTTTCATCTTTCTAAGAAGTCTAGGATAAGGATATTACAATATTCTTCTTAAATTCATCATTCATAACTAATTGGTTTTTTGTTAAGGATTGTTTTTTATTTAGAATCTGCTATTGGCGAAGCAAGTTGATTGATGTTTAAAAAAACCAAAAGAATCATTTTTAGAGAAAGAAGATCTGTTGTCTCTCAAGAAAGAAAAATGTACAGATATCGATTAGGTTGATCTCTGCTCGGATACCCTAGGTTCTGACCCCGACACTAATAAAGGCGATGAGTACACTGTACCCAGTTACCCTGAGATATCTTGACAATAGTAAATTTTATTTCAGGGCTGGTTGGAGTACCATGAAACATCCGTTAGATCTCAACGAACACAGAGGAAGTTTATTCATCCACCATCGAATATCACAAAGTATATATATTACCAATCTCCTTGCTTTGCTTTCCTTTGTTTATGAGGTTGACCAATTCGAGATTATCTCCCTCAAACTATACACGTCTAAAGCCCTTTATCCAAATTACTTGAAGGGCTTGTAAAAATCCCATAGCTTCTGCTTGGAGAGGTGATCTTACTTGCCGTAAAGCTGCATTACCTGAAGTAATGTGTTTTCCATTATGGTCTCTGATAATCCAGCCTACTCCTACTGTAGTATTACCTTTTCGATCACTGCTGTCAAAATTGCATTTTAACCAATTTTCCGGCGTGAGAAGTTTTAACTGTTATAGAATGTATTTATTGTGTTTGTGTTGTATAGGAAGGGATTTTTTTTCTTTAGAGTAATAAAAAAGAGTATTGGATTTGGTATGAACATAAAGTAACCTTTTGAATGAATATGAAATTACGTGTGAATTTGTTTTGCATGATTGTTTTTGTTCATTCGAAACGTGTCATATAAAGATGTATATAAGATCTGTTGTTGTGTCTTCCTTGACAGCATATAAGATCTGTTGTTATGTTAAAATGGAATAATACGTTCATATAACTAACAGAGTTTTTTCTTTTTATCATTAGTTATCGAGCGAGTAAAATTAGAACAATGCTCAGCTAACTATGATAAGAGTAGGTAAGTTTTATCAATAATAATATTTTGCAAACAGTATTCTTTTTTCTTTCCTTTTTCTTATTGCAAAGCATAGTTAGCTCCCATTTTTTAGGTAGGTATTGATATAAGTTTCGCCCTGAAATTATTCCAATTTTAAAAAGGAAAAAATTGTTAATTAACATAAATATTCTTGGATCATTTGTTTTAGATTTAATAACATTAGATAGACAAATAGTTTTTCCATATAAATTCTGCATGCGAGTTTTTTTTACACCACTGTCACCGCAAACAAAATTTAAAAATTTGAACCCAAGTATGAAAATA